GAGATCTGATTCTTTCTTTTGTTCTCCCTATTATCTATCATGAGCCATCATCATAAATAGTCTATTTATTGTGCTATATGTATGTGTCATTGATCTGTTCTCATGTGAAATGACTTCTCATTTTATTTCTTTTAATGTTTATCATTTCATAGCTTTAAATATATGGATTACATTTTTAGTCCTCTGAATTTATATATAATTTTATTTTTGTTATATGTAAAGTTATATGTAAATCCAAAGTTATATGTAAATCCAAAGGGGTTTCTTAAGGGTCTTCTCTCCTCAGCAAGGTTTCATATATACCTAGACAGTGCAGTGAGAGGTTAATCTATACGTGTTCATCTATTCATTGTAATCCTTTCAATTCCAAGTCCATATTCTTCACATTATGAGGAGGATGGACTAGACAGTATCATATTAGATATTGGTAGGTACCATTTTCAGATATTTGAGACTTATTTAGTCCATGCTGACTCAAGTCTTACAAGAATCAAATATCTTAAAATGTTTATAATGTAGTCAGAAAAATGATAATAAAGTATAAAGTCATCAAACAATATAGGATAGTATATATTTGTTATATTATGTATCAGACTAACTGATATCAAAAGTCTTTCACCAACCTTTAAACAAACAAGTCATGAAAACATCATGAAGAAATAGGCTTAAATTGGATCTTGAAGGGTGAACCAAATTTGAATAATCAGGAAAAGAAGGGCAGTCTTTGTAAGGTAAAAATGTAGCATAATGTGTTTTGCTTGGCAACAAGTTCAATACTTTTTTAAAATTTCTTTAGTGGTAGATGGACACAATACCTTTATTTTATTTATTTTTATGTGATGCTGAGGATCAAACCCAGTGCGTCACACATGCCAGGCAAATACTCTACCTCTGAGCCACAGCCCCAGCCTCTGGATTTTTTTTTTTTTTTTTTTTTGAGACAGGGCCTTGCCAGGTTGCTGAGGCTGACCTCAAACTTGTGTTCCTCTTGCCTCAGCCTCCTGAGTCACCGGCATTACAGGCATGCACCATTCTACCCATTGCAATACTGGATTTTAAAAAATTCCTCACCACATATAATTTGATATGGTTTAAAAGAATGTATAATGGAGGGCTGGGATTGTGGCTCAGTGGCTGAGCGTTCACCTTGCATGTGTGAGGCACTGCATTCGATCCTCAGCACCACGTAAAAGTAAATAAATAAAATAAAGGTATTATGTCCATCTACAACTAAAAAAAATTTTTTAAAAAAGAATATATAATGGAAAAAATCTAAATAATAAGTAAAATCAGAAGTAGGGACACTGCATATTTCCATGGTGGAAACAGCAGAACACAGATATGTAATCTCTAATGTTATGCACAGTTATACTAGCATTGAGCAATAAATTTGATTCTTAGAAATAGGGGAAAAATTTGCTCCCAAAATGTAGGCTCTAATCTTTAGGGTATATAAAGAACTCAAAAAGCTAAGCACCAAAAAAAAAAACAAAACAAAAAAACAAATAACACAATCAATAAATAGGCCAAGGACCTGAACAGACACTTCTCAGAAGAGGATATACAATCAGACAACAAATATATGAAAAAATGTTCATCATCTCTCACCATTAGAGAAATGCAAATCAAAACCACTATTAATATATCATCTCACTCCAGTATGAATGGCAGCTATTATGACGACAAACAACAATGAATGTCGGCGAGGATGTAGGGGAAAAGCACACACATACATTGCTGGTGGGACTGCAAATTGGTGCAGCCAATATGGAAAGCAGTATGGAGATTCCTTGGAAAACTGGGAATAGAACCACCATTTGACCCAGCTATCCCTCTCCTTGGTCTATTTCCAAAGGACTTAAAAACAGCATACTACAGGGACACAGCCACAACAATGTTTATAGCAGCACAATTCACAATAGCTAAACTGTGGAACCAACCTAGATGAATGGGTTAAAAAAATGTGGCATATATGCACAATGGAATATTAGCAATAAAAAGAGAATAAAATCATGGCATTTTCAGGTAACTGGATGGTGTTGGAGAAAATAATGCTGAGTGAAGTTAGCAATACCAACAAAACAAATGCTGAATGTTTTCTGTGATATAAGGTGACTGACCCATAAATGGGGTAGGGAGGGGGAGCATGGGAGGAATAGACAAACTCTAGATAGGGCAGAGGGGTGGGAGGGGAAGGGAGGGGGCAGGGGGTTATCAATGATGGTGGAATGTGATAGACATCACTATCCAAAGTACATGTATGAAGACATGAATTGGTGTGATCATACTTTATATACAAACAGAAATAGGAAAAATTGTGCTCTATATGTGTAATAAGAATTGTAATGCATTCTGCTGTCATGTATTTAAAAATAAAATCAATTAAAAAAGAGAGACGGGGGGAAAAGTAGAGGGATATTTTGTTGCAGGAGTAATTTTTTTCATAACTAGAAGCTATACTATTTTGATTTGGGTAGAGTATAGATCTTCAAAGGGACATCCCCACCGCAGCAAGGCATGGTGGCATACATCCTCAGCTACTCAGGAAACTGAGGCAGGAGGATCTTATGTTTATGGCTTAACTGAGCTACTTAGCAAGACCCTGTCTCAAAAGAAAAAGGGTTGGGGATATCACTCAAAGATAGTGTCCCTTGGTTCAGTTCTCAAAAAGATTTTATAGTGTTATAGAGCACAGAGAATGCAATAGAAAATGTCAATATTGAATGTGATATTAGGCTTCAAAACACTGTTTCTTAATGTGATTCTGTATAAAGCTAAAGAAATGACACCAAAATTCAGCTCAGTTAACAAGAAGTCAACACTTTGGGGACCAAGATTATCTGTATATACTTTTCTGGTGGTCTAGATTAAAATGATAACATTTAGAATGTAGAGAAATGAAGACTATATTCAGGAAGCCTGATGTTTCAAGTCACATGAAGAAATTTATAAAAAATTAAATCCAATGGGCCTGTTCTCTGGCAAGGGTCTAAAATGATCAGGTATTCTGTTTCTGATTAAGGGCAAGTCAAGAGCAAAACAGTAGATGTTAAAATTGAAATATTTTTGTGGAATTGAGAAGTCTAACCATACTTTTCTCAACTTGATTGTTATCTTGCTCCTATCATCAAAGTATGTTTGCAATATCAATAGATAAAAAAAGGATTTCTCTTAAAAGTACTGTTATTCACTATGGTCCATGATGATGACTTGATCAAAATTCTTACATTTGAGTATGGGAGAGATTATTTTAGCCTGGAAAAAATTTAAACTGGGCCTGGTGGCACACACCTATAATTCTGGTGTCTTGAGAGGCTGAGGCAGGAGAATCACAAGTTCAGAGCCGGCCTCAGCCTCAGCAAAAGTGAGGCAGTGAGACCCTATCTCTAAATAAAATAAAAAATAGGGCTGGGGATGTGGCTCAGTGGTTGAGTGCCTCTGAGTTCAATTCCCTGTTACCCACCCCCCAAAAAATTTTTCCCTCTTCTTTCTCCCAGGCCTCCACATACCCACTCTCAGTTTATAATATAGTTTCCTTCATTTGTTTAATGTACTGCAATTTTGTAACATTTTGTAACATTGTTGCTAACTGTGCAGTTAGCAAAATCAGCACTAAGGGAGATAAATCAAGAATGTAAGGGGCTGGGGATGTGGCTCAAGCGGTAGCGCGCTTGCCTGGCATGCGTGCGGCCCGGGTTCGATCCTCAGCACCACATGCAAAACAAAGATGTTGTGTCTGCCGAGAACTAAAAAATAAATATTAAAAAAAAATTCTCTTTCTCTCTCTCTCTCTCTCTCTCTCTCCCCTCTCTCTCCTCTCTTTAAAAAAAAAAAAAAAAGAATGTAATATAGGCAATTTGGTAGGACTGGGGACTGACAAAGAAAAGATTTTTAACATATCCAGAGAACAGAACAAGAGGAAAACAAAAAGTTTTTTCTGTAGGTTAAATGTGGGGCAATTTGGGGTACAGCAGCATAGTTCCTTTTATACCTTTAAAAATCTTCATAGAGGACTAAGGTGTAGCTCTAGGTAGAGCACTTGTCTAGCATGTACAAGATTCTGGATTTAATCCCCAGCACAGTAAAATAAAAAGTTTCAGCCAGGTTTGGTAGTCTCCTGTAATCCCAGTGTTTCAGGAGGCTGAGGTAGGAGGATCGCAAATTCAAAACCAGCCTCAGTAATGGCAAGATGCTAAGCAACTCAGTGAGACTCTGTCTCTAAATAAAATACAAAATTGGACTGCGGATGTGGCTCAGTGGTTGAGTGCCCCTGAGTTCAATTCCTGGTACCCCTTCTCTACCCCCCTACCCCCCCCCCAAAAAAAAAAGAGATAATTAAGGATCTTTATAATCTGAAGTGGGGAGAAAGAATCCATCTCCTATCACCACTAAAGTCACAAGTTTTTGCTTTTGTTTTTGTTTGGTGGTGCAAGGGATCAAAACCAGGGCCTCACACAACCTAGGCAGGTCCTCTTCAGCTGAGCTACACCCACAGCCTTCTTTTAGTTGGCTTTATCATAGTCAGCTTTTTAAAGAACAGATAGTATACAAAAAGAGAGAACTTATATATATATTAATTTCTTTATTTCCTGTTGAGTTCATGTGTTTCTGAAGGTTCTGCTCTTTTTTCTCTATTCCTGGCAGAAACATGGTCTTATTCTTTTCTGTTTTTTATCAGATTTCATTCAACAGCAGGTTCCCTTTGTTGCCCAGGCTGGACTCAAACTCATGGGCTCAAGTGATCCTTCTGCCTCAGCCTCCTGACTAGTTGGTACTACAGGCATGTACCACCACACTTGGCTTCCAGATTTCACTTTTAATAGAACCCAAAACATCTAGTTGTTATTGTTTATTAGTGGTTGAAAAAAATATTTCCTAGCCTCCCTAGCCTTGACAATGTGATTTAATTTTGCATTTTCTGACTGAATAGTTTAAAATACTATAGTATTTTAATGGCTTCCATCTCCCTCTTTCAATAGTAACTTTCTTGTTGGTTTCAGGGGTTCAACTAGATATAGCTTCACAGTCTCTGGACCCAGAAGTATTTTTAAAAGTTAAATCTGAAATTGAAGAAGAGCTAAAATCCCTGGACAAAGAAATTTCTGAAGGTCTGTTTATTCTTATTTTCCTAGTCAATTAGCAGATTCTTTCTGGTTAGTTTGGTTTTCTGTGGCTTAGTTTGATTTTCATAGTAAGTAGTTCTCAACATTACACAACTTAACTGGTATGGGATTATAAGGATATGAAACTAGAAGGTAGCCTTTTTTTTCTTTTCCTGGGGGACATATTTATAAGTTTCTCAACTATACCCTACCATTTAGATGTAGCCTTCTCTGGTTTTAAGCAATGAATTAAATGATGTTAAGGTTCTTTCCATTCAATATGATTTGATTTATATTTGGTAACTTTATAACTAATAACAGCATGAAAGAGAGAGCTTCTCATTTTTACATGTATATAAGCTATAGATTGTTATAGTGTAGGTATCATTTTCTAGCCACATATTTTGCACTGAACACTACTTCATCATAAGTTTTAAAAATAATTGTCATTCTACTAGCTGTGTGAAATTATAGTCATTAAATGAACATTTACCCAATTGTTCCTTTATTATTGAGAGGAGCATTTGGTTACTTCCTGTTTTCACTTCCACAAATAATTCTATGTTGAACGTTTTGCTCAGTGATTTTAAAAAATGACTTTATTGAGGTATATTTCACATACCCTAAAATTTACCCATTTAGAAGTTGTAGTTAAGTGGTTTTTAGTATATGCACAGAATTGTGTAACCATCCCATAATCTAAATTAAGAATACTTTCAACTCTGCAAAAAGAAATACTGTGTAGATTAATAATCACCTCCACTAACCCCACCCCAGTCCCACCCAAAGCAGCCACTGATCTGCTTTCTATTTCTGTGACTTTGCCTATTCCAGGTATATCTGTAAATGAAATCATGTACTATGTGGTTTTTTTGTGACTGACTTCTTTTATTTAGCACAAGGTTTTTAAGGATTATTCATGTTGTAGCAGGTATCAGTATTTCATTATTTTTTGCTGTTGAATAATATTCCATTGTATGGATATGCCATATTTTGTTTATCCATTCATCAGTTGATGGGCATTGATGGACACGGAAGTTGTTTCCAGTTTTTCACTATTATGTATGATGCTGCTGTGAATGTTCTTGTACACATTTTTTGAGAGCTTTATAATTATACACAGTAGTTGGATTCATCCCAACAAACTCATACATGCATGAAAATTGATTACCCTTTTCCTTCCCATCCCCCCTCCCGTCCCCCATTCTCCTTCCTCTGCTCTACTAGAATTTGTTTTACAGTACTGGGGATTGAACCCAGGGCCTTGTGCAGGCAAGGCAAACACTCTACCAACTGAGTTATATCCCCAGCCCACTACCTAATAATCTTTAATGAGCAAATTTATAAATCATGTTTATAAATCAGTTACCTGTTAGTACAGAAAGAATCTGAATAGAAATATATAAATAATCCAAAAGCCTGTTGATCTTCTCTTTTATATTCATTTTATCAACTTTTTTAAAAATGGTGTTGGAGATTGAACCCACAGCTTTGTGCATGCAAGGCAAGAACTCTATATCTATATCCCCAGCCCTTCGTTTTATCAACATTTTAATTTATTAAATTTCCAGTTCTCTCTTAAGTCTTGATACACAGTCTTCCACCCGCCACCCTTTTGAGATGAGGTCTCACCAGGTTGCCCAGGCTGGTCTCTAATTCCCAGGCTCAAGCACTCTTCCCACCTTAGCCTCTTAAGTAGCTGGGACTAGAGGTCAGCCACAGCACCCAGTTTCTTCATGTACATTTTGATATTAGAAGTGCTGCATAATAAAATGGGCAAAAGGGAGAAAGGAAAAAAGAGCAACAAAAGGTGTAAATATAATCTCTAAGTCCCATATTATCCAAAGCTAATCATTAAAATGAATACTCTAGGGGCTGGGGTTGTGGCTCAGAAGTAGAGCACTTGCCTAGCATGCGTAAGGCACTGGGTTCAATTCTCAGCACCCCATAAAGTAAAATAAAGACATTGTGTCCACCTATAAGAAAAAAAATAAGTATTTAAAAAAATGAATACTCTAAAGCTTGCTCAGACAGCAAAGTAATTATGAACTCTGTAGGCATTTGCATCTTTCTTGGATGTAAGCAAGGTGTATTAAAATTTGCAGCCTTCTAGGAACAAGCCAAGATGAATGCACAGCATTTTATGAAAATAATTGGTAACTCTGAGGAGTGGGTGTAAACCACTTGCTTTACTGGGATTCTGTGCTGACATCCAGCTTGCACCCTAAAATGACAGTCATTCTCCCTATTCTTCCTAGAGTCAGGGAATGGATAAGTCTCTATAACATGAAGTTGGGAAATAGAGAAGCTAGTAATTTGAACTAAGAAGAGGTAGAATATGATTATGATTACTTTTTCCATATTTGGCTCTTATATTACCTTCATAGTTTTAAAATTTATCTGCAGAAATAATTGAGATAGAAAGTTCATTTTAATAAGAAATGAAAGCAATGGACTCATTTTCTGAGTTGGAATACACTCATCATAGAGTGTGATTTAAGAAGTGGTACATTTATAAAAGCAAAAACAAAACCTTAAAAATAAATATCAAGAGAAGAATAATAGAGCCTAGAGTTAACTCTCATTTATTATTCTTATGCTAAATTGGCCAGTAGGCATAAACTAAATTGGTTAGATATTCCCCCTCTGTGCTGGGGATAGAACCCAGGGTCTCTCCCATGCTAGGATTCCAGTAAGCAATATCCATAGCCCTGTTAGTGTATTTTGACATGTCAATATAGTTGCTTTCTTCTTTTAAAACTGATTTTCCATTAAAACTCTGCCTTTAAAAAAACTCTAGGGGCTGGGGATGTGGCTCAAGCGGTAGTGCGCTTGCCTGGCGTGCGTGCGGCCATGGTTCGATCCTCAGCACCACATATAAACAAAGATGTTGTGTCCGCTGAAAACTAAAAAATAAATATTAAAATTCTCTCTCTCTCTCTCTTTCTTTAAAAAAAAATAAAAAATAAATTAAAAAAAATAAAAAAACTCTAAATTTAGAACCTATCAACTTTTATATTCCAGATAAGATTAATATCTATAATGATTATCTGACCTTTATAAGTGGTTATAACTATTAACTTTTTCCTAATATTAAATATCTTAGTACCATGAGCTTTTTTAGTACAGCTTTATTTACTAAATTGGTTTTTCTCTTGCCTTGTCTTCAGCCTTCACCAGCACAGGCTTTGACCGTCACACTTCTCCAGTGTTTAGCCCTGCTAACCCAGAAAGCTCAATAGAAGACTGCTTGGCCCATCTTGGAGAAAGAGTATTGCAGGAACTGAAAGAACCTCTGCATAAAGCATTGCAAATGCTCCTCAGCCAGTGAGTTACCATTGCTGAGTGGGAATGTGCTTCTCTAAGTAGTCTCGGATCTCTCATGCGGCGCTGGATTGGTTAAGGCTTTGTTTTAGGTGAACAGTGTCATTTCTTTTCTCACTTTTCTTCGCTTTTTTTCCTTTTGCTTTCCCAAAGCATCTCTGTGTTTTGAATGACAACTTTGCCTCTAAGTAGTGATTTAACTGTTCCGACAAAGATTTGATGGTTTGTATTATTTATTGAGCTATCAGATTTCAATGGATGCATTTAACCGTGTTGTAAACACAAGCTATTGCACTTGTTCTGACCACTTTTTACTATGGTTCTTTCTAGTTGGCCAACATAGATATAATTGCTGGAGTTTTATGCATTATAATTTGATATCAGCATTATATTTTAGATTGTATTTAAGATTATATCCATATCCCAGATATCGCTAAACTTTAGGGACTTCTGTCCATGGAACTACTTTCACATTTTTTTAAAAAATTTTTATTGTAGACAATATTTGTATTGTCTACAATAAAAATATTTTTAAAAATATTTTTATTTTTAAATGTTTATTTTTAAATATTTTTATTTTACTTATTTATTTTTATGTGGTACTGAGGATCGAACCCAGTGCCTTACACGTGCTAGGCAAGCGCTCTACTACTGAGCTACAACCCAGCCCTACTTTCACATTCTTATAGTAGACTTCCTTCCTAGCTATGCATCAACCATATTAAAGCTAGAAACTTATTAATAAAAATGAAAGTATATTAAAATAGAACAAATTCATTTGTTGTAGAAAGTTATTTTTCTCTAGTTCTTTGCTGACAATTATTAAGGAATTGATGTGAGTTAGCGACATATTTATCTTAATGAAGATTGACAACTTTATAAAATAGGAAGAAGACTGTTGTTTATTAAAAGGGCCAAAATTCAGATGCTAAATTACTGTTGTAGTACTTTACTACAACAATAATTTCTTACTTTTATGTAGGGACAATTTATATATTTGTTGCAAGGAAGCAATTTTAGGAGAATTCAGTTAAATGAACAAACAGAAAACTCCTAATTATACTTAGGGAAATGAAATCATATTTGAAATTTTTTTAAAATATATATATATTTTTAGGTGTAGATGGACACAACACAATGCCTTTATTTTTATGTGGTGCTGAAGATCAAACCCGGGTCCCGCCCATGCTAGGCAAGCTCTCTACTGCTGAGCCACAATCCTAGCCCCATATTTGAATTTTTTAATCTTAAAAAGTTTGTTTAAGCCAGGCATGGTGGCCCATACCTGTAATCTCAGTGACTCAGGAGGCTGAGGCAGGAGGTTTGCAAGTTCAAACCCAGCCTCAGCAACTTAGCGTAAACAACTCAGTGAGACCCTGCCCCTTATTAAATAAATAAATAAATAAATAAAGCCGGGAATATGGCTCAACAATCCCTGGTACCAAAAAAAAAAAAAAAAATTGTTTAAAGATAAAAATGAAAGAAATATATAGGTGCCAGGAAGTAGAACTTAAATAGGAAATGTGGATCAAAATAGTGATGTCAAAAAGTGTTCAGTGGCGCCTTAAGCACTGAGGTTGCTATAGGAGCCCCTGAAAAGGTAAGGGGTAGATTGAGTTAGTGGGGCTTATTAGGACCTCTCTATGCTTCTTAAGCCAGGACGCTATACTTCCATATGTTTTTTATATATGAAGTTTCATGTAAGGTTTGAAGAAAGAAATTTGCAACTTTGCCAAAAAGGAAACCAAAACAAAAAACCTTGTAAAAGCTATTGGGAGTAAAATAACTAAGTGATAGGCACAGGCAAAAGATTCTGTTTCTAATTTGATGGAAACCATTTATGGCTTTGAAACCTTTTCATTCTTTTTTTTTTTTTTAATGTTTTTTAGTTGCTAATAGACCTTTATTTATTTATTTATATGTGGTGCTGAGAATCAAACCAGTGCCTCACACATGCCAGGCAAGTGTGTTACTGCTGAGCCCCAGCCCCAGCCCCTGAAACCTTTTTATTCTTTATGTCAGTTTTTTCATTTGTTAGCTTTAACTTTGCTTTGATAATATCAACTCTTCCAAGAAGAATATCATATAGTTTTTTTTTTAATATTGTTCCTGGAGTCTTTTTGTAATCTATAGAAAAAAATTTGATCTCATCTCACTATAAATTATGTTTGCAAGAAAATTGGTTTAGATGAATGTTTTCCCAAGCCTTGAATACCAGTGCAGTTATTTTAATATATTTTAGTTGTCAGTGGATCTTTATTTTTTATATGCAGTGATAAGAATTGAACCCAGTGCCTCACACATGCTAGGCAAGCACTCTAATGAGCCACAACCCCAGCCCCAGCATAGCAAAGTCAGATCTTCCTGTGAATAAAATTTTTTCAGAAGTCTACTTTTGAAAGTTTTTAATTTTGTTACTAATACCTTGAAAATAACTAACTGGTGATATATTAGAAGTATTATACAGGTTGAAGGCAATATCTTAAGGTGGAAAATACCATCTGCTCCTCCAAACAGTTTTGTTAAAGTAGGAAATTACAATAATGCTGAACTCTTCATGCGGAACACCAGCAATTTTAAAAGGTACCCACCTCTCTTTTTTTTTTTGCTCTTAGGCCTGATTAGGTTATTCATCTTCTTAACTTTTCTATGTATTAGATTTTTTTTGAATGTTTTAAGCTTCTGCATCTCTTATGTGTACATGTAATGTTTCAAATCATGTTTCATTCTGAAGGATGCTAAAGTACTTTAGCCTGATAGACATGCTACTTATAAGGACTACTGTGACCCACAGCAGCATCAAACAGTTCAGGAAAGGAAGTGAAGGGACTGATATACACAAGTAAAACTTCAGGGAGAATATAGGTAGGTAGACTACATAGTATCTACTGAAGTTCAAGCTTTACAAGATTGAAGTGTATACTCCAAGGCTTCTTGAAAAAATACTAAGCTTACTTTAATGAGAATGTGATATCAGGAAGTTAGTACATACTGTATCCATCTTACTATTAAAAAGATCATCCCTGGTATTTCAGTATCACTCTAATATTGATTTGATATTGATGTGTATAAAAGATTTTATGTATGTCTTCAGAACTGTTTTCTGAAATATCTAAACCAGTGCTATTCAGTAAATGTAATGCAAATCAAATATATGCAATTAAAATTTTTGGCAGCCACATACAAAGTATGAAATTAATTTCTAAAATTTAATAATATATTTTCAGCCTAGTATATTCAAATTTCATTTTAACACATACTCAGTATAAAAAATTATTAGTGGGATAGACTACATTCTTTTTACTTACTGTTTAAAATTCAGCGTGTAGATTATACTTTCAGCACAACATAGCCACATTCAAATGCTCATTAGCCATATGTGGCATTGAGACATTGTCAAGGCTTTTGTCAAAATCCTCACTTGAAATGGGAGCAGTGTGACCTTTGGAGGCAGATCTAATTGAGCTTGAATTCCTACTTTGTTCTTTTTAGCTTTGATATGTAATATAAAATATACATACATAGAAATATTCTACCTATCATAATAGGCTATCAATAAATTGTAACTGTTATCAATCTTAAATATTCATAGGCTGAAGAAATCAGACCCGAGTGGTCAGAGCAGAAAATGCCTTTGAAGTGGAATTTTAAAGTCCTATAGAGAGCTAAAAGTGTAGCTTAATGGTAGAGAGCTCATCTAGCATGTGTAAGACCTTGGTTTGATTCCCAGCACTACACACAAAACAAACAAAAAAGCTCTAAAATCCTACGAAAGCAAGACTTCTTCACTCCTTTTTACATGTCTGTTAACACTTTGCCCAAAACGGGGTTGGAGGTCTTGGATCTATTATCCAAGCTATTGTTGCCTTTATGTCTTATTTGGTACAATTTTTTGTGTTTGTTTAATTTGCACATGAGATCAGTGTTTAAAATATAGTACTTAAAGCCCTTCAACAAATTAATGAGACTTTGCTGTCATCACTCAGTGATTTCAGGATTTTTTTTTGTCTGTTTTTTTGTTTTGTTACTGGGGATTGAACCCAGGGGTGCTTTACCACTGGGTCATATCCCCAGCCCTTTTTATTTTTTATTTTGAGACACAGTCTCAGTTGCTTAGGCCCTCACTAAGTTTCTGAGACTGGCCTCGAATTTGGAGTCCTCCTGCCTCAGCCTCCCAAGTTACTGGGATTACAAGCATACGCCACCACACCTGGCAATGATTTAGGTTTTTGATATGACTAGAACTTGCATGTAAATAATCAGGCTAATTTCCTTGCCCTCCAGGATTATATTTTTTTATTATTGTTATTTTCTGATCCCTCCAGGATTTTATATCATAAGACTACAAGTTAAAAATAGGACACCAACTAATTATAACAAGTAAAATAAATAGGGCACCAAGCCAGGCATGATGGCACATGCCTTTAATCCAAGCAGCTTGGGAGGCTGAGGCAGGAGGATCATGAGTTCAAAGCCAACCTCAGCAACTCAGCAAGACCCTGTCTCTAAATAAAATATAGTGGTTAAGTACCCCTGGGTTTAATCCTCACTACCAAAAAAAGAAAAGGCACCAATTTTTGACATTATTTATTCTAATTCCTTGTATCCTTAGTTTGAAAATCTTCCAGTAACATGTTTCTTTTTTTTTTTTTTTTTTTTAGAAAAATTTTTTGGGTTGTAGATGTACACAAATCTTTATTTTGTTTATTTATTATAATGTGGTGCTGAGGATCAAACCCAGTGCCTCACACTTATTATTCAAACGCTCTACCACTGAGCCACAATCCCAGCCCCAGTAACATATTTCTTTAGTTCTTAAATATTATAGATGTTTTGGCTTTTAAAAGTGTTAAAATTATACTTTTAATTTTATTTGTTGTTATTTGATATTAATAACCCAAGTATTTATCTGCAACATAAATAAGTTCTATCAGATAATTTCTAAGTAATTACAAAAAATTTATTAGATGATACATTTATCTTACTATTTTAATAACTACTTTCCCAAATATGCATCTAATGCTATAGAATGCTTGGAAAAAATGAAGCCCAAATACTAAAAACCATATCTTATATAAAACAATATGTTGAATAATCTTAGTCACTTTAGCAAAAGATTCAACAAAACAATAATGTCTTTATATTTATTCATCTGAAAATTTAGAATTTTTCTTTTTTGTGACACAGACTTTTAAAAAATTCTCTACAGGCCAGTGACATATCAGGCATATCGTGAATGTACACTGGAGACCGCAGTTCATGCCAGCGGCTGGAGCAAGGTATTAACCAAATTATCTTTATTCTTACAAGATTTTAGTGTGATAATGGTAAAGTATAGGAGGAATCATTAGTGTATTACATTAAGAAAGTGTTAGAGCTCTTTAATGCGTAAATATAACTATGTTAAGTGGATATTTCTTATTTAATTGTTGTTTTGATTAATGCTACTTCTGCTTGGCCCAAAAATATGTCCCTCATAGTATGTTCTCCTTCCTTTTTGCACACTCTGAATTTCCTATCATTTCTTCATTTCCTTGTATTAGAAGTGACTTTTATCTCCATATGGTTATTTATTAAAATGTGAGTATATCTTGGAGAAGACTGACTTCATTTGAGAGATATCTTCTTATTATTTTCTTAACTAATATCATTTGTGTCTTATAGTTTGAAAGTATTTTGTGTCACATCCCATCTGATATCACGACCATCCTTTTAAGAAGGCAGAATGAATTTTATTAGATTTTTGTGTTGTTTATTAGGTCAGATGACTAATCAGGAAAAAAAATGAAAGAAATTGCCTAGGTCTTCTTAACTAATAAATATTGGAGCTAACACTAGAGCTAAGATCTAAATTAGAAAATTTTAACCTCCGAGGGTTTTTTGTTGTTGTTGTTGTTGTTTTTTGCTATACCATACTGTTTGTCCATTATCTTAGACTGTATTTTCTACTTATCACCTTGGAAAGGTGAGTATAAGAGGATGTAATATGAAGAAGTATGGCCCCCAGGTGATTTAGCATCAGGGAGGAAAAATTTCAGCACCAATATTTTTACAAATAGCCACCTCTACTCAGAGTTCTTTGTACAGTCATTCCTATATAGTATTCAGTATGCCTAGAGGATTGTTTACAGGACCACTCTCAGATACCAAAATTTGTTATGTTCAAGTTCCTTGTATAAAATGGTGTAGTATTTGCATATATGCACTTCTCCTGTGTCCTTTAAATCATCTCTAGATTACTTAATTTAACTAATACACTGTAAATGCTACATAGGTACTTGTTATACTGTATTGTTTAGAGAATGACAAGGAAAAACATCTGTGCATGTTCAGTTCAGATGCAGTTTTCCAAATATTTGCAATCCAAGATTGGATATAGAACCCAAGGATATGGAAGGCTGGCTGTAAATAGGTCAGACAGTGTGACCATATGTGCCTAATTGATGTATATTGGGTATGCAATCTGATTTGTTTCAAATCTCAGCTTTTTAAAAAAAATTTAATTGGTAGTCAACATTGTTTTTATCATGTACAACATGGTGTTTTGAAGTATGTATACATTGTAGAGTATTTAAATCTAGCTGATTAACAAATGTGTGACCTCATTTATCATTTTTGTGGTTAAAAACACACACTCACCCTCTTCACATTTTTCAAGAATGCAATATATTGTCATTAATTATGGTCATCATGCTATGCAGTAGATCTTTTGAAATATATTCCTCCTATCTAATGGTAATTATGTATCCTTTGAACAAGGTCTCCCTATCTCTTTCTCTTCTTAACTATTGCAGTCTCTTGTAACCATTACATCTCCTTGTTTAACTAGATCTGCTTCTCTGAGATCAAAATTTTTTTAGTTTCTCAAACATCAGCTTTATCACAGATTAAATTTATTTAGGCAGGTTAATTAAGCTTTCTGAATCTTAGTTTTCTCATCTGTGAAATGGAGACAGTACTACTAACTTTATACATTTAATTAGAACTAGTTGAGATTATATGTGTAGCACATTATCTGTCACCATAAAAAGCATTCAGTAAAAGGTAAAAGATTTATACCATGTAAAGAGAGACCAGAGTAGTATTATAAGCCCTCAGCAAACAGCAACTAATGTACTAGTTTCTGTTTTTGTTTTTCAGTGCTTGGGATGAAACCCAGGGTCTTACACATAGTAGGCAAGCGTGATACCACTGAGCTTCAACTCCAGCCCTTCTTAATTTTACTTTATTTTATTTACTTATGTATATTTTTTGCAGTACTAAGATTTGAACCCAGGGTCTCACACATTCTAGGCAAGTGCCGGACCACTGAGCCCTACACTTTGATTTTGAGACAAGGTCTTACAAAATTGCCAAAGCTGACCTTGAATTTGAGATTCTCCTCCCTCAGTCTCTTCAGACTCTGGAATTAGAGGCATATGCCACTGTACCTGGCTTAATATACTAGTTTTAATACACAAGACCTTGTCCTTATGCATCATATAACAATGGAGGTTAATTTTGAGGATTGCATCCTTAGGCGACCTCATTATGTGAACATGTAAAGTGTATACAAATTAAGACTGGTACGGGTCTGGGGTTGTGGCTCAGGGGTAGAGTGCTCACCTAGCACGTGCAAGGCACTGGGTTCGATCCTCAGCACCACATAAAAAATAAAATAAAGGTATTGTGTCCAACTACAACTAAATAAACAAAATATTAAAAAAAATTAAAACTGGTACGATGTCACTAGGTAGTATAATCTTAGAGGACCACTGACCTGTGGTTCATTTTTGACTGAAACATTATGTATCACATGACTATTGTTACTTGTATAGAGTTTCAGAGTGTTCATAATGTATTAAAATATATTTTTTTCCTCATTTTTTTGGAACAAAGAAAAATACAGACATTTGAAATAGATTTTATAAATAACAGTGAGCTTGGTTATGATATATTTCTTAGTATATCAAACATCTTATACTTAGGTAATAATTTTACTAGTTTTCTTTTCTTTCTGTTGCTTCTGTCTAGTAACTGTTAGAGTAAATTCTTGTATGCCCTACCCTTCACTGCCCCAATCCTAGAATGATCATAAAAAATCTAAGTCAACCTGGTCTTCACTGCCCTTTTTCACCCTTCCTGTTTTTATGCATTTTCCTGTTAAATGGATAGTCCCTCATCTGGATCAGGGGGCCAACTATTGACTTATTTAAGCTGTGGCTTAAATACCTCAAGTTAATGAGGCATGCCAATTAGAATATTACATTTTCTGCTGAATCTAGTATTACTTTCCTTCTAAATTCTCAAGGACTAAAAAGAACCTGGTTTATGATATTAGGCTGCTGAAATCTACCCTCCCTCATTCCAATTAAAATCTAGAGTGGTTCACAAAACAGTAAGCTTACAGTTTACATTCAGCATGAGGTTTGCAAAATTCCAGTCTTTTTTTTTTTTTTTTTTTTAGTCTTCAACACCTTGTTTAGCCACCTGATAGAAGCAAAACTATACAACATCCTGCCATGTCACCCCAAAAACAATGTTTTTACTCGTTTTTATTTTGTTTTGTTTTTGTTTGTTTACCATGCTGGAGTTTGAGCCCATAGACTCACACATACTATGTAAGCACTCTATCACTGAACTGCATCTCCAGGCCACACTTTTTTGATAGCTGAATGGGTCATTAGCAAAGGACCTATAGTGCTTTTTAAAGGGGGAAACAAATAAAAGCTGGGCATGGTGGAACATGCCAACATGCCTGTGATCCCAGCGGTTTGGGAGACTGACACAGGAGGATTGTAAATTTAAAGCCAGATTCAGCAACTTAGAGAGGCCCCAAAGCAACTTAGCAACACCCTATCTCAAAATAAAAAGGGCTGATGATATGGTTCAGTGGTTAAACGCCTCTGTGCTCAATCCTTGGTACCAAAAAAGTGAAGGGGAGGCAAAAATTTGATATAATATTGCTTACTATCTAGCAAGTCAATAAAGCACCAATCAGAAAAAAAAAAATGTCTACAAAGCATGCCAGGTTAGGGACAAACTGAGTATCGATTCATTTGTAAAGAAATTTTTAAAGAATCTTTATAGAATACTCTTTAAATATGTTTAAAAGAGTAGATGGAAAAAGCTGGTTATGAACATACATTAGTTATATGATCTTTTGTTATTAAAAAAAACAAAAAAAAGGACATCAGACTGGGAGTGCAGCTTGGTGGTAGAATTTGTGCTTAGCATATGTGAGGCCCCAAAATGTACATATATAAATGTAGAATATATATATATATATATAATCTCAAAAAAATTGATATTTGCCAAAATATTAAATAATCCATTGTAGCTATCTTGGAATTGTAAGTGATTTTTTTTTTCCTTGTGGGTATTTTTTTTTCCTGTCTGCTTATAAAAAAGGAGAAAATGACCATCAAAGAGAAAAAAAACCAAATCTGTTTTCATCTGTTTCCCCACATATTCTTCCTTCTCTTCCCCTAGATTAATGAAGTAGACCTTAGACATCATATTTTATTCATAAACCCATTAGTATGTATTCCTAAGAATAATGTATTTCTTTTACCTTATTTTTGGGGATACTGGGAATAGAACCCAGGGCCTTGTTCATGCTAGGCAGATATTCTGCCACTGAGCCACATCCTGAGTCCTATATCCTCTTTTTAAAACCTACTGATTGGGGCTGGAGTTGTGGCTCAGTGGTAGAGTGCTTACCTAGCATGTGTGAGGCACTTGGTTCGAGCCTCAGCACCACATAAAAATATACAAATAACACATAGAAAAAAACCTACTGATGCTATCATTAGCACACTTAAGAATATTAACAGTAATTCTTTAATATTGTCACATAATTTACTAGGTATTCATTTTCACTCATTCGTTTTTGTTACTGTGAGGTAAGCCCAGTGGAGCTCTACCACTGAGCTGCATCTACATCTCCTAGCCCCTTTTATTTTTTTATTTTGAGACTTAGCATCTCACTAAGTTTCTAGACTGGCCTCTAACTTTTGATCCTCCTGCTTCAGCCTTCTGAGTATGCATCACTGTGCCCAGCTGCTAAATGTATTTTTAATTTAATTTTTAAATGTTTTAAGAAATTTTATCATAACTGTATGATTGTTTTCTTTCCACATTTTTTATTGGTTCATTATTATAGTTATACATAATGATGGGATTTGTTGTTAAACATTTATACATGCACACAATATAACAATATAATTTGGCCAATATCTCTTTTCAACACTTTCCCCCTCCCTCACCTCCCTGATGCCTTTTCCTCTACTGATCTCCCTTTGAGTCCTGCCCCTGCCCACCTTTTTTTTTCTTCCTCTTTTTCCTCTTACCTACACATATGAGAGAAAATATAACCCTTGACCTCCTGAGTAATGGTTCCATCCATTTTCCTGCAAATGTCAACCGTGTTTTAAAGCTGGTTTATTTGAATCAAAGTCGGAACAAAGTCTGTGCATTGTTTTTGGTTGATATGTTTTGTTTTTTGTTCACTGAAATGTAATTCACATAAAATTTGCCCTTCTGAAGTCAGGTCAGAGATTTAGTATATTCACATTAGTTCATATAGACCTAGAAATGTGAATAGTGAGACCTTCTCAAAATGAATGGGAATTCAGTTTTATTTTAACATTAAAAAAAGAAAAAAAAAACTTAAGTGTCATGGTACACTCCTGTCATCCCAGATTCTCAGGGGGCTGAAGCAAGAGAATTGCAAGTTGGAGGCCATCTGGGCAATTTAGGAAAACTCTGTCTTCAAAATAAAAATTACAAAGGGCTGAGTCTGTAGCTCAATGACAAAACACTCCTGAGTTCAATCCCCAGTATTGGAAAATTAATTAACTAATTAATTTAAAATAAAAAATAATATAAGAGGGATGAATACAAAACAAATGTGGTTGCAGATTATATTGAATACTCTTTTGGAGGGGGTTACTGAGGATTGAACCCAGGGGCACTTTTACCATTGGGCTGTATCTCCAGGCCTTTTTAATTTTTTGAGACAGAGTCTCATTAAGTCACTACCGACCTCCTAAATTACTGAGGCTGGCCTCAAACTCATGGTGCTTCTGCTTCAGCTTCTGGGATTACAGGCATGGACCACCATGCCCAGTAATATAGAATACATGTGGGCAGGAAAATGCCAAGTTAATGGCCATCAGTTGTAGAAATAACTCATGAAGACTTTTTAAAAAAAATAATTTTTTAGATATTGATGGACCTTTATTTTGTTCATTTATTTATATGCAGTGCTGAGAATCGAACCCAGTGCCTCACTCATGCTAGGCAAGTGCTCTATCACTGAGCCACAACCCTAGCTCCTCATGAAGCTTTTGTGCATAGGCAAATGAACTGGGTTTAACTATTTAAAAGTTATTTAAACCGTGTTTTAAAAAGTCGGAAGTCGAGCTGGGTATGTAGCTCAGTAGTAGAGCCTTTTCCTAACATATATGCAAGGCTCTGGGTTTAGTCCCCAGCACTGCAAAATAAATAAATAAAATAAACTTAAAAAAGTAAAAGCTAAAAGTCACTGTACAGGTCTATGAAGAAAGTATGTCACCTAAGTAAGCCTGGTCTATAATAGACATTAACAGTTGTGTGAGGTATGAAGGGGGGAAAATAAATCATCTGACACAACATACATCAACAAAAAAAGTGTTGTCAATCAAACTAGAAAATGGTAGTCCATAAAATGAAATTTCCACACTCTGGTGACTATATTTCAAGAAAGACAGAATGAGAAGATCCAGAAAAGGACAATTTAAAGAAAGAAATTAGGGGGCTGGCGTTGTGGCTCAGTGGTAGCGTACTTGCCTAGCAAGCACGAGGCCTTGGGTTCGATCCTCAGCACCACATAAAAACAAATAAAGGTATTGTGTCCAACTACAACTAAAAAATAAACATTAAAAAGAAAAAGAAATTAGGGCTGCGGTTGTGGCTCAGTAGTATAGAGTGGTTGTTTCACACATATGAGGCACTGGGTTTGATCCTCAGCACCACATAAAAATAAAATAAAGGCATTGTGTCCATCTTCAACTAAAAATAAAACATTAATATGAAAAGAAAGTAATGTGATAGGAAGATTACATTTTGCCCAAATGTATAGTGAATGAGGGAATACAGTCAAATATTAAAATTGACAGAAGTGAAAGAGGATTGCAGATTTATTATAAAATCAGGGTATCTACTTTTTGATACATATGAAAAAGGTAATTTGGAACAATAAAAGAAATTCTAAAATGTTTGCACCTCATTTCCCCAAGAAGCAGTAGAGCTTATTATGAAGAGTTTCAAATTTTTATGTATTTATGGATTTTTGTGGGAAATAAAAATGTTTGAGGTTCAGAACATCTCAGGCCTTTGAAGCTCATAGGATATGAATAGCAAGGCTGACTGATAAGTCCCTTGCCTGTTCTTGCCCAAGGCAAAATACTGGGGCTAGATGAACTTTTTTTGTTTCTGTTTTTGTTAGCATGATAGTTTTTCTTATTATGGGAAAAGCCTAGCATATTTGTCTTTATAGCCCTATGTCTTTCCATTAGTGTTAAAAACTGGAGTTTTCTAAAAGGTCAAAAAGTAAATGAATTTGTTTGTTTCATTCTCTGTCAGAGTTTAATATAGACTCCTTTGGGGCTGCTTAGAAGCCAAAGAATATTAGTATGAAGTATAAACTCACTGGGCATTTTTATTTGTCCTCCTCTGGGGAAATATTTTGTCAGCCCTCAGTTATTTTCTTGGTAATCCAGTAACAAGTAACGAGAATTGGTTTCATTTCCTTGTGCATTCCTTCTGCCATCATGTAGACCTTTTGATGTTTTAGACAAGAGACTTCATATAGATGGCTAGCTGAAATACTTAGTTTTTTCTTTTCTTTTTTTTTTTTTTTTAATGTTGGGGATCAAATGGAGGGACTCAGGAATGCTAGGCAAGTGCTCTCCTATTAATTCTTTTTTCAATATGTAATTCTTCTTTTTATTACTGAGGATTGAACCTAGGGCCTTGCATATACTAGGTAAGGACTCTACCACTTAGCTGCATTTTCAGCCCAATATGCAATTTTTTTTTTGTAGTTGTATATGGACAGAATGCCTTTATTTTGTTTGTTCATTTATATGTAGTACTAAGGACAGAAACTAGTGCCTCACACATGCTAGGCAAATGCTCTGCCACTGACCCACAGCCCCAGCCCACTTTTTTTTTTTTTTTTTGGAAGGCAACAACAGACTAGTTTGTTATAAATTTTGATGGCTTACCTTTTGTGTTATTAGGTACAGGTTATAATGCCTCCTTTTATATTTGATTTTTTATGATTTTTACAATATAGGTCATAATTTTTAAAAAGTTCTTATTTTCAAATAATAAAAGAATATGGTTTAAACTATAAAAAGTACAGAAAGAGGTGCATCAAAAAATAGATTTTTTTTTTCACCTTTGTTGACACTCACCTAGTTCCTCTTAAGCAACCACTATTTTTAGTTTCTTATATGTTTTTTCCAGAGATACTGTAGGGCTATACAAACTTATATGTGTATATGCATTTTGTTTTGTTTCATGAATGATCCCTCATTCTCCTGTATCTTTCTTTCTCTTAAAGTAAATTTTGGTAGGGTATGAGTGGGAACTGATTAATTAATTAATTAATTTGGTGATTGAGTACTGAACAGTCTCTTTTCAACTCTATTGGATGACCAGAATTCATTAAATTAGTCTGCATTGAGTTGTTTTTAGTCTTCTGTTATTTTAAATAATACACGGTTATTTTTATATAATAATTCTACCACCCTATCATATGAAATATTCAGAAATATATGTAATATTGAGAAAAAGATTCTAGTAGGGGTTAGTGTTTTATGAAATAAACATATGAAATATAATGATACATCTGAGTATAATTTTCCAGTATTTTGATATAAAAAATGCATTATAAGAATTTCAGACTCAAAGGCCAAAGGTTCTCCCTGATAAGTAGATGCTGATGCACAATGAGGGGCATTCGAAGAATGGGGAAACTTTGGACAAAGGGGAAGGAGGAGACATCATTACCCTAGGCACATGTATGACTGCACATATGGTGCAACTCTACATTGTAAACTACCAAAGAAATGAAAAGCTGTGCTTCATTTGTGTACAATGAACAATGCATTCTGCTGTCATGTGTAACTAATTAGAATAAAAAAAAGAAAAAAAAAAGAATTTCAGAGTGTCTCTCCCCGCCTCTATCTTTACATTGAAGATTTTGGTGCCTCTGGTTTTGCTCCGACAAATGCTTTTGGAGTTGACAAGACGTGGTCAAGAACCTTTGAGTACACTGCTACAGTTCGGAGTGACATATCTGGAGGACTATGCAGCAGAGTACATCATTCAGCAAGGTGGCTGGGTATGAATTATTGTTTTTTAAAACATTTTTATTTAAAAGAAATTAGGCCCATTGTTTTTTTAAACAGCATAGGGTTATGTCTGTATTAGATGATGATCAGTGGAAAAGTTATTCATACAGTTTCAGTTAAGTTACTAAGATTTTACTTATAGTAAATTGATATATGAGACTTTTAAATACTTATTAATTATGAAATATTTCATACTAATAAAAATATATAAATAACTAAGGATGAGACTGTGGAACCAACCTAGATGCCCTTCAATAGACGAATGGATAAAAAAAATGTGGCATTTATACACAATGGAGTATTACTCTGCATTAAAAAATGACAAAATCATAGAATTTACAGGGAAATGGATGGCATTAGAGCAGATTATGCTAAGTGAAGCTAGCCAATCCCTAAAAAACAAATGCCAAATGTCTTCTTTGATATAAGGAAAGTAACTAAGAACAGAGTAGGGACGAAGAACAGGAGAAGAAGATTAACATTTAACAGGGATGAGAGGTGGGAGGGAAAGGGAGAGAGAAGGTAAATTGCACGGTAATGGAAGGAGACCCTCAGGGTTATACAGTGGAGGGGGTAGAGAGAGAGGAGGGGAGGGGAGGGGAGAGGTGGGGAGGGGGGAGGGTGGATGATGGGAAAGGCAGCGGAGCACAACAGACACTAGTATGGCAATTTGTAAATCAATGGATGTGTAACTGATGTGAATCTGCAATCTGTGTATGGGGTGAAGGTGGGAGTTCATAACCCACTAGAATCAAAGTGTGGAATATGATATGTCAAGAAATTTGTAATGTTTTGAACAACCCACAATAAAAAATTAAAAAAAAAAAAAAAAAAAAAAAAACAAATAACTAAGGATGAATAATAATAAAATGAACACCAATGTGTTTATTGCCTCAGTCCAAGAAAAAAATATGGTTAACATTTTGCAAGATTGGTGCTGGCAATTGAATCAAATCCTCACACATGCTAAACAGTACTGTGCCACGGAGCCATACCCCCAGCCCACACAGCAACTCTTTTGAATCTCCTTATATTCCCCTCCTGAATTTTGACATACTCATATCTGCCTCACAATTTTCTGAAGTTTTTAAATTATAGCTTAATTATATATATATATATATATATATATATATATATATATATATATATGTATATTCTAGACAATAAGTTATTTTGTATGCTTTGAACTTCATCTAAATAGTATCATACTACATGTATTCTTCTGTAACTCACTTCTTTAACTCAATATAATAGTGTTTTGTTTTTTATTATCAGAATTTTGAGTATGAAGACAGAAATGGTGTGACTCTACTTTATGTACAACCAGAGACATGAAATACTGTGTTCTGTATGTGTACTATGAATTGAAATGCATTCTGCTGTCATAGCAAATTAGAATAAATAAATAATTTTTTAAAAAAAGAACAAGAAAAATTAAAAAGTACTTGAGACAGGGTCTTCTTATTTAATTGCCCAAGCTGATTTGGAGAGTAGCTGGGATTATAAATGTGTGCCATTGTACCGATATTATGTCTTCGAAGTTTACCTAAGTCAGTTTCTTAACTTTTTTTCATTATCACCTCACTAAGGATTTTTTTCCCCCAGTATGGGGAATAGTACTCTGGGGGCATTCAACCACTAAACTGTATTCCAGGCCCTTTTTTTTTTTTTTTTTTTGGTATTGCTGAAAACTAAACTCCAGGCTTCAGGGCTTAACATTTACTAGGCAAGTGCTCTGCATCCCCAGCACCCCCAGCCCTTTTTTTTTTTTTTTTTGAGAGAGAGAAAGAAAGGGGGAATTTTTTCATATTTATTTATTTATTTTAGTTTTTGGCAGACACAACATCTTTATTTGTATGTGGTGCTGAGGATCAAACCCAGCTCCACGTGCATGCCAGGCAAGTGTGCTACATCTTGAGCCACATCCCCAGCCCCACCCCCAGCCCTTTTTATTTTATTTTTATTTTTGGAAATGGTCTTGCTAAGTTGCCAAGGCTAGCCTCAAATTTGTGATCCTCCTGCCTTAGTGTCCTAAGCTACTAGGATTACAGGCATGTGCTACTATGTCTAACTCTAAGGATCCTTTCTAGACATCATTTCCCCCTAATAATCTCCTCCTTCCCCCAATGGAATTTTAATGTTTGTTTGTTATGTACTGTGTGGCCTTTTGCAGGGCCACAAACAATTGTAATGTGTAACATTTCCCCTGTGTCTCTGAAACATTTTTCACCCTTAATATCATCCCCATTGAGAATGAATGATCTAGGTTCATTCATTGGCTAGTGTTTGTTGTAAAAATATGACAGTTTATTTTCAATGGGTATTTCCACTATTTTGCTAATGCATATGTGTAAGAATTTCTGTGTAGAATTTCTGGATCATAAAGTTATAGACAAGTTTTAATTTACAAAATAATGAGTTTCTGTCACTCCTCATCTTCCCCTTTACTTGATTAAGATATCAGTCATGTATAACCAAGATTGTTTTAAGAAAGAAGCAAGGGTTGGCATGGAGATGCATGCCTATAATCCCAGCTACTCACGAGACTAAGGCAGGAAGATCTTAAGTTTGAGGATAGCCTCAGTGACTTAATGAGACTGTGTCTCCAAATAAAATAAAAGGGGGTTGGAGATACACCTCAGTGATAGAGTACATATCTAGCACGTGTTAGGCCCTGGATTCAATCCCCAGTACTGCAATAAAAGAAAAAAGAAAAAAAAATGAATTTGTCCTTCCTAGGATTTATCTCTATATCTTATCTTTTTACTTCAATTTATCATGTACCAAGCAATTATTAATCATGCAACAAGCTCTTGAGTGCCTGTTATACACTATGCTCTATCCTGGACTTGACTGCTATGAATAAAGAAAATCCTTGACCCAAAGGAATTTATATTCTCATGGAAGTAGACAAACAATTAAGATATATAGCCAGGCACGGTGGCACATATCTATAATCCCAATAGGCTGAGACAGGAGGATCGAGAGTTCAAAGCCAGCCTCAGCAATTTAGTGAGGCCCTAAGCAACTCAGCAAGACCCTGTCTCTAAATAAATATAAAAAAAGGTCTGGGGATGTGGCTCAGTTGTTAAGGCCTCTGGGTTCAATCCCCAATACCAAAAAAAGGGGGGGGCAGTGTATCCAGTAGTTACATATGCCATGGAAAAAATAAGACAGGAAAACATAAATGGGATAGGACTTGAAGTTTTTATATCAGCCAAGTGAGAACTCACTGCTGTCTAAGCAAAGATTGTACTATTCTCCCTGTTTTAATCCCACCTTATTCTCTTTTTTCTATTTATACCCTAGGAGTAGAGTTTTCTATTTCTTTTTTTCCCTCTCTTTGATGGTGTGTGTGTGTGTGTGTGTGTGTGTGTGTGTGTGAGTGAGAGAGAGAGAGAGAGAGAGAGAGAGAGAGAGTCTGTGCCTGTGTATCTTGGGGTTTGAGGGTTTTTTGTTGTTGTTTTTGTTGTTGTTTTGGGTGGTGCTAGGGATGTAACCCAGACTTTCACATATGCTAAGCATGCATTTTTAAGCTGTGTTAAGTTGTAATTTACCTAATAGTTAGTGATAGTATAGTGATTTTATAAACTTTGCACACTAAACTTTTTAGCCACTATACATCTAAGAATTTGAGCTAATAAAAAAAAAGTGGAAATTTAATTAACATGGATGCTAATGTAAAGTGTATTAGGTTTAGATACTTGTTAAATGCTTTTTTTTTTTTTTTTTTTGGTATTAGGGATTGAAACCAGGGCACTTAACCACTGTGCCACATCCCCAGCCCTTTTTTGTATTTGAGACAGGGTCTCACTGAGTTGCTCAGGTCCTTGCTAAATTACTGAGGCTGGCTTTGAACTCACAATTCTCCTGCCTCAGCCTTCCAAGCTGCTGGGATTACAGGCGTGCACCACTGCACCTGGCTGTTAAACACTTATTGAATGAAATGCTGAGCATTTGTAGGAAAATAAGAAGTATTTTCATGCTGCTGTTTTGTTTTTGGTATTGGGAGATTGAACCCAGAATGCTTAACATCCCCAACCTTTTAATTTATTTTTTTTTTTGAGTGTGTGTTTTTTTTTTTAGTTTTCTGTGGATGCAACATCTTTATTTTATTTTTATGTGGTGCTGAGGATCGAACCCAGCGCCCCGCGCATGTCAGGCAAGCGTGCTACCGCTTGAGCCACATCCCCAGCCCCCTTTTAATTTTTTATTTTGAAATAAGATCTTGCAAAGTTGCTTAGGGCCTCACTCAGTTTCTGAGGCTGGCTTTTAACTTGCAATCTTCCTGCCTCAGCCTCAAGTGAGCCATTGGGATTATGGGCATGTGCCATTGTGCTCAGCTCCTGTTGTTGTTAAAAATAAGAACTATGATAAATTGTTGCCATTTTTTTTTTCCTATTCTAGGGTTCTCTTCTTCTTTCTTTCACCCACCCTCCACCTGCCACCACCCTCCCTCCCCCTTTTTTTGGCCAGTGTACTGTGTGATTCCTGTGAGAGCCAAGGGACACCTCAGGTTAATTTCCACTTAGCTTATGTGGTACTTTACAACAAAGGAAGAAGAAAAACACAGAAGAGTGTTATATATTCCCTTCCTGATTCTGTTTTATTATGACAGTGCATTAAAGTTTGTCTATGGTTATAATTGTTAGATGGAAAGTATTTGATTTAACTCAAATATTTGCGCTAAAGACAGAAAGTTACCGTATGAATAACAAGTTTATTAATATTTAAAATATGATTTCATCTGTAAATTTAAATGTCTGATCTGTATTTCACATTGTTAGATCTAAGCCATCCATTTCTTTGTATT